AAGAGGCTGTTCGAATGGGCAGGGTGCAAAGGTAGAGCACAAAACTTCGGGAGTGAGTCATCACCCATCAAACTAGAAGGGAGCAAATATGCCTTCAATTCAGTCAAAAGCCATTGGGTAAAGGAACTTGATGACCCAAATGGACCTCAGAGAGCAGGAGATAACTAGAGCTGCCCAACCTGCTCCACAAATAAAGAAATTAACAACTAGTTCAGCCGAGAAAAGGTGGCAGGTGATAGGATTCATAAAATGATTCCACTTTATGAGGCACTGAGGCACTCATCTGTCGGCCTGAGCCACTGTCAAGGGAGGTGTGCAGCCTTCCAGGAGCCTGGATCTGGGACATTACTGAGAAGCTCCCAAGCCTACTTGAAAACAGACTATTATTCACTATTAGTGTTCCATGTGGGAGCCAATGATACAACTGGCACCAGTCTGGGAAGCACTAAGAGGGATTAAGGAGCCCTGAGAGAGATAGTAAAGGGCGTGGAGTTCAAGCAGTTTTTTTCATTAATCCTCCAGATCAAAGGAAAGGGAATTTTAATGTGCAGACAAATCTGGCAGGTCAACAAATGGCTAGAGCAATGGTGCCCTAGTCAGGGTTTTGGTTACTCAGACTCATAGGACTCACTTTGCCAAGGCTGGTTTACTGGGGAATGACAGGATCCATTTGACAAAGAAGGCAAAAAGTATCTTTGGTGCCATTACTGGACCTCATGCTTACCAGGAGGAAGGAGCTGGTGGGGAATGTAGTGCTTCAAGGCAGCCTTGGCTGCAGTGACCAGGAGATGGTGTTTATGATCCTAAAGGAGGGTGAGGAGGGCACACAGAAAGCTCACGACCCTGGACTTCAGCAGAGCAGACTTTGGCCTCTCCAAGGACCTATTTGGCAGACTCCCATTGGATAGAGTCTGGAAGGCAAAGGGGTTCAAGAATGCTGGCTGAATTTCAAGGATGTCTTCCTCCAAGCTCAGGAGCAAGGTACCTCAACAAGGAGAAGACTGAGCAAAAATGCCAGGAGGCCTCTATGGGCAAGGAGCTGCTGCACAAACTCAAAGAGAAAAAAGAAGCTTTCAGAAAGTGGAAACAAGGACAGAGGGCCTGAAAAGAGCAGGAAAATTGTATGGGATGTTGGGGACAAGTCTAGAGAAGCCAAGGCCCAGTTAGAACTGTGTCTGGCCAGGGATATTAAAGCTAACAGGAAGGGCTTCTATAGATACATTGCAAGCAAGATAAAGACCATGCTAATGTGAGCCCTTTCCAGAAGAAAAAGGGAGACCTGACTACACTGGACAAAAGAGGAGGCTGGGGTTCTCAATGACTTCTGTGCCTCTGTCTTCAATGTCTTCAAATGCTCCAGCCATGCCACCCAAGTAAAGAAAGGCAGATGCAGAGACTGGGAGGATGAAGACCCTGAGCCCACTGTAGGAAAGGATCAGGTTTGAGACCATCTCAGGTTTGACAATGTGCACAAGTCCATAAGATCTGATGAGGCTCATCCATGGGTCCTGAGGGAGCTGGCAGACAAAGTTGCTGAGCCACTGTCCATCATTTCTGAAAAATCACAGCAGGCAGGTGAAGTCCCTGATGATGGGAAAAAGGGAAATTAAACCCCCATTTTTGAAAAGGGGAAAGTGGAAGACACAGGGAACTACTGACCAGTCAGTTTCACCTCTGTGCCAGGCAAGGTTACAGAGCAGATTCTATTGCAAACTATCCTAAGTACCTGGCCAACAAAGAGATTAACTGGTAACAGTCTAAATGGTTTTACAACGGGAAAATCATGCCTAACAAATTTGGTGACCTTCTATGACAGGGCTATAGGGTTGGTGGACAGGGGCAGAGCAACTGACATTGCCTAGCTGCACTAAATGCAAAGTGTTTCACACTTCTGCACAATGTCCTTGTCCCAGATTGGAGAAATAGAGATTTGATGGATGGACCAGTTGGTGAATAAAGCTGGATAGCCACACAGAGAACTGTGGTCAATGGCTACACATGGAGACCAGTGATGAGTGGTGTCCCTCAGAGATTAGTAGTGGGGCTCTTCAATGTCTTTACTGGCAACGTGGACAGGGGAAGCAAGTGCACCTTCAGCAGATATGCTGACAACGCCAAGCTCTGCAGTGCAGTTGGCACCATGGAGGGAAGGGGTAATGCAGCCCAGGGACTGATGCAAACCTCATGAAGTTGAACAAAGCAAAGCCCAAGATCCTACACGTGGGCCACTGCAATCCCAGACACACCAATGGGTTGGACAGAGAACTGATTGAGAGCAGCCCTGCTAAGAAAGACCTGGGGGTGACAGGTGATGAAAAACTCCACATGAGCCAGCAGTGCGTGCTCACAGCCCAGAGAGACAATTGAGTCCTGGGCTGCATCACAAGGAGCGTGGCCAGAGGGTCAAATGAGGTGATTCTGCCCCTCTACTCTGCTCATGGGAGATCCCACCTGGAGTCCTGTGCACAGTTCTGGTGTCCCGAACAAAAAAAGGACATGGAACTGTTGGACCAAGTCCAGAGGAGGCCACAAAGCTGATAAGAGAACTAGAGCATCTCCCCTTACGTTATGTGTTCATAAACAGGCTGAGAAAATTGGAGCTGTTCAGCCTGGAGAAGAGAAGGCTGCATGGAGACCTGATAGCAACCTTCCAGTATCTGGAAGAGACCTAAAGGAAGCTGGAGAGAGACTCCTCATCAGAAACTGCAATGACAGGACAAGGAGTAATGGGTACACATTAAAGAGGGAAAATTTAGGTTAAATACTAGGAAGGATTTTTTTACTGCAAGTGTGGTGAGACACTGGAACAGACTGCCCAGGGAGGCTGTGGATGTCCCATTCCTGGCAGTATTCAAGGCCAGGCTGGATAAGGCCTTAAACAACCTTGGGAAGTGGGAAGTGGAAAGTGTTCCTGCCCATAGCAGGCGGGGTTGGTTCTACATGATCTTTAAGGTCCATTCCAACCCATTAACATTTTGTTAATCTATGAAATAGTAAGCTGTCTTTTGGAACCTCAACTTTTACAGCTCTGAGCTGCAGACTAAACGAACCCCTCTCTCCCAGGTTATTTGTTAATAAATTATTAAGTAGGAGGTTTTCTGTACCCTTTCTCAGGACATGACGCAAAACAGAAACACAGTTTTGAAACACACAGTTCTTTTTCTCTTAGACAGATGGCCTCCCCAAGCCCTATTCCCACACCTGCTGCAGAGGAAAGAAATCACACAGGTGTCCAGAGTAAGAGCTCTCATGGCAGAAATGAAATGTACTTTCCTTCTAGCTGTTTATAACACTTCACAGACATCTCTGTGTCGGGTAAATCCATCACACCGTGATAGATTATTACCTCTCTAAACTCCCGCATGGTGAAGCTTGCACTGTTAACTACTAAGGAAGACTTGCATTTCTGCAGCACAGCCAACATATTACTGTTTCACTGTTTTGGTCTACCTTTCCCTTCAGAAGAACTTTCAAGAAAATTAATGGATATAGTGGGGGATGAATCCTGCCATGAGGTTTCATTACACTGTATTAGACTGCAGGAACAAGCCAGATGTTTTGTTAGAACTCACCAAAGTGGAACTGAGAAACTTGCAGACACTACACTGGATGCTGAAGCAGCAAAACCCAAAATCCAGCTCCACCCATCTTAAACTTCATGAACTACTTCAGGGACCCACAGAAATTGGGGAGCATACAGAGCAGACTGCCCTCCACATTGCTAAAACCTTCAGGTAAAGCTAGGCAGCATGTGGTTACTGGTGACAACTCCTAACATTGTACTCTACAGGCATAGTGAGAGCAGATCAAGAATCCCACCACCTAGTAGTACACCTCTGCCCCTTGGGAGTTCACCTTACTCAGCTGAACAAGGCATGCAGAGTGGTATTGCCGGCATTCCAGAACATTTGCGTCACTGCTGGGGACCAGAAAAAAATGGTTTGATAAGGACAACACTGCAGATACCTTGTACTGTAAGAAGAAATTTAGAGTGGAGAGGCAAGAAAATGTTCTTTGCCTGAACTATTAAGCTGCATAATAATGCAACTGTGTTGAACAACACCCTATAAAATATTCAGTGGGTATCTCTTTCACTGACTTGATAAAAATGATAGCTTGGGGCTCAGAGCTTCACTCTGACATCTCAAAATTTTCCACTAGGAAACTTATGAAAATTAATACCAAACAGCAAGTACTGTCACTACAGCATTCAGAAAAAAAACATGATAAAGACTCCAACAACAGCAAATCTCTCCTGGGCAAAGTAGAAGAAAAAAAAAATACAGCAGATGAAATCGTTGTTTCTTCTACACTTTGAATACAAGCATCTCTCTACAACAGAGTAAGCTAGGATTTAAGAACATGCTCTGCAGATCTCCTCCATCACTCCAACACCGAAGGACCTCACTGAGGCTTTAAGGTAATCCACATGCAACAAAGCCAGATTCCAGTTCACCATGAGTCCTCAGCAAACAGCATGCTAATATCAAAAACCACCTGGGTGCCAGCTCAGTTTAGGATTCTGTTATCTGAAGCTCTGTGTTGGGCTTTACAACCAACAAGACTTTGCATTTGGACAAAGGCAAAGAGAAAAGTGAAGTTGATGTACCTCCTTGGCCTGTCACCACTGACTATTCAGTTTAGCCCAAGAGTCACAACATATTAATACAAATAAATTCCAATTTCAACTGGTTTTTCCAGGAGTTTTTAAAGCTGTTGCCCAATTCAGTGTAACCATGGTATACATATAGAGGGTCCTTTCAGTAAGACAAGGAAGGTTTGGTTTCTATTCATGGCTACTAGTCACATCTTCACAGAACATTACACTCCCAAAAAGGCACAGGTCTGTGCACAAGGTCCCTGTGAATCAACCAAAAATAAGGTTGAATAGAATAGGGGAAAGATTTAAGTTCCATGGAAGTCAAGCCCAAAGTTCAATTAAGATGACGAATTTTACCTCTCTGAAGAGGACAAAAATAACAAGGGCACCTCAGTAACTGTGCTTTAACTGAACTTTTTAATGGAGGTGGATATAATCAATACATTGTAAGCCAGTTCACAATTTTCATTGAATTCTTATTACTTTGGTGAATAAATTAATGGTCAGTTGGACAGAAAATAACCTCAATGAAGGAGTAAAGATATTACAAATCCCTTGAGGAGCTCTTCCACTGCTAGTTGCTGTCATCATTGATACACACCCAAAACTGCATTGCTATGATTCTTCTGTTTCTCCAAATGCCTCCAATGCAGTACCTGCAGTATTTCCATTACTAACTCATTTAATGACTTATACTCCATTATCAGATGGGCAGCACTTTGGTAGAGGTGTGGCAGAAGATTCTTTGCTTTCTGTCAATGCTCGTGGCTGATGGACAAAAACACTGAACCTGACACCTTGGTTTGCTGCTGCCCTCACAAACCCACTATTTGCAGTCATGGTGATGGCTTTTAAAGTGTCTCCTGTCCCAAAAATGGCTAGAGAGCGGCTGTTGATTTTTGAACTAGCCACTAATCCTAAGGCACGGTCAGAGGGCTGATCTGGCACCACGTTAATTCTTTTAACAAGCAATGTAGCTCGCTCTTTCTCCCCAGGTCCTCCCAGCGTCTCCAAGATGGACTGAAAATCTCTGACAGCAGATTCACAGGCAAAGAGCTCTTTTCCCTCCATGAACTCCTTCAGCTGAGGAAGGACTCTCTCCCTTCTTTCTTGTGCTGCTTGTTCTGTCAGCACTTTTTCTTTGAAGACAAAGTAGCAGCCACCATAGCTCAGCGCAGAGACGTAGGTTATTAAGGTAGTGATGTCCAAATTAACTCTATTGCAGACGTTTACTTTGATCTGGGTAGGGAAAGCAATGCTGGCCACTAAATTCTCCCGGTCTACTCTCGTCACCTGCAGGAGTTCAGGGCCTTCTTCATCTGATTCACTGGAGTTAAGATGCTCGTTTTCTGCAGATGGCTCTGCCAGTGAGTTCACAGCAACAACGTCTCCTCTAACAGATATTCCCATCTCCTTGAGCCTCTCTGCCATAGGACTGGACACGCTGTTGTAGAACGCAAAGATGATGTGGGGATTGCTGTACTCCACTGGCTGCTGACGGCTTGCTTGCAGGAAGTCCTCTGCCTGCTCAATGACACTTTTATCACCATACTGGCCTCTTCCCAGCCAGATGTTATGCAGGGCCTCAGCTTTACGACCGATAGCCTTCACCCACGTGTGACCTCCGTTTGCAACAACATCTACAACCAGCGTCTGTTTGTCTCCAAACCTATCCTCATAAGCAAAGACATGGAGGACACTGACAACATCCTCCAGGTTCTCTGCTGACTGAATAATGGCTTGGAGGTGGGTAAGGTTTGTACTCTGCAGATGGGATTCTTTAATGGCCACTTTCCCTGCTTCTACCTTGTGTAAGAAATTTAGCTCAGCCTTCAGCTTGCCACATAGCTTTGCCCCACCTTCTATTCTCCTCTTCTGGGACTTGGAAAGGGCTTCCGCTCTCTTAATCAAGTCTTTGGCAATAGCAATTCTTTCACAAAGCAGTGATTGCACAGACATGGTGTAAACATTATTCCTGTCAAGTGAGAACAAAGGAGATTGTTAACGTATGGCCAAAAAATAAAGACAGAGTAGTTCTTTCTAACAGTGTACACTCCAGCCTCGCAGTAGACTTAAGTGCAACAGCTATTGTAAAGCACAAGTAACTGGAACCTCAACACAAAGTCCTGGTGATGAGTTCAATTCCTTTCCTTCACCTTTAGAGATCCAACCTACAGCCTCAGAAGAGCCCACTTCTCAGCTAGGCAGCACTTAAGTCTACACACAGAGCTTGCAAGCTTGTGGTTTCCCCCCACCTGCCATGTAAGAGACCTTCACTCAGCCACTCACTTAGAGGCATGTTAACTCTCACAGCCCATTTGCAAAAGCTGCCATCTAGAGCAAAATTAGAATGCCATAAGCATTCTTATGTTAATGTCATAAGCAAATCTTGCCTCTCCCTCTAATCACACCACTAAAATTAAAAGCTACCCACAGTGCTTACACTTACCCAGCTTTCAACCTGCACTGTTCAACTCAGTGCACGAACCCCTCAGAAGGTGGTGAAGCACTGGGACAGGTTGCCCAGAGAAGCTGTGGACACCTCATCCTGAAGGGGTCAAGGTCACAGCCAGGTTGGATAGGGATTGGAGCAACCCGGTCTAATAAAAGGCACCACAGTAAAAGGTGTCCCAGCCCACAGCAGGGGGTTTGGAACTAGATGATCTTTAATGTCCCTTCCAACCCAAACCATTGTATGTTTCTATTACACAGCCTCATGACAGACTATGATTCATAAATCTAATGTCAAGAGAATCTCTATGCTAAAATTGCTATGTTTTTTTTAATTCTACTAAGAGATTTATTAGGTTGCTGAGCCAATCTATTAAATCTATTATTTCCATAATCCATAAACCTATTCTTTCAAATCTGGATTACTTTAGTAGGCCTTCCTTGAGGAAAGTATGATAGGAATTCCTTTACTGAATATGTGCTGTCTTGGAAAACGTAGGACTCCTACTACACCAAACAATAGCATATTTAAGACAATAACCACTATGAATAGTGAAATTTATCAATCGTGAAATTTACAATTTTGACTCCTGTCTACAAGTATAAACACTGCAATTCTCCCTATGATTCTTACCTAACACACATATTGAAGTAAACTGGTACTAAAGGACAAGACAGACGAAATTCCAACTGAAAAGGAGCCTGGGACCTACAACCGGCTCTGCCAGTGCAACTCAGTGGCCTGTCTTCAAACAGAGGAAACCTCCCTGGCCCTATGGCCAAGCGGACACACCGCCAGCATTAACTGCTACTGGCCTGGTCTACATCCAGCATCTGCAACATCTCCTCCTGCTTTTTCATGGCCAAGATTCCTGATGTCTTCTGACACGACTTACTAACTCTCTTCACGGTCCCAGGAGGCCAGAAAAATCAGCCTTTCCCCCTCGAAGTCTTTACCATTACCACAAGCTTAGTCTTGCATGTAATACAATGAGTAAAACCTCACGACTAGTAATTGGGCACCTCTCCCCACAGCAGCTACAACTCCTACACGCACACACACACACATACACACACGCTTCAAGACAGAGCGTAAATCAAGGGCTGCAGTGACAATAAAACCACAGAAACAATTATTTTTTCCGCACAACTGTGAGGCGGCGCCACGATCAACCACGAAGTCTCAGAGTCCCTTGCCGTCGCCCCAGGGCCCGATGTGCCCTGGGCGGGGATCGGCGGCGCCGGCCGCCCCTCCCGCCCGCGGCCCGGCCCTCTCCCCCGCCGCTCCGCCATCACGTGTGCGCCGCCACACGGAGGCCGCGCCGCCATCTCGGCTGAGGGCACGGCGCCCTCAGCGCTCGCCCCAGCCCGGCTCGGCTCCCCGGCCTCGCCCTCGGCCCATACGCCGGCCCCGGCGGAGCAGACGGGTGCAGGACGCCGGCCCTTGTCCCTCCTGTCCTCCCCGTCCCCCGGTCACTGCCGGGACGCGCTGTGCTCGGGCCCGCCTCGCCTCTCCGGGGGGTCCCTGCCCCGCTCCCTCCCCCGGGGCCGCCGCCTTTCGCCAGCCCCCACAGCCTGTACTCACAGCCCGGCGGCCACAGCCCTCGCCCCGGGCTGGCGTGGCGTGTTGCGGCTCGGCCCAGCCCGGCACCTCCCCCGGGGCCGTCGGGCGGAGACAGCCGCACCACCCGCCTCGCTCCGCCGGCCCCAGCCCGCCCGGCCTGGCTGTGCTCCCCGGCGTGCCCGCGGGTTATCGTTAAAAACCCTGCAAGGGTGGGATAGATTACATCAGGTCAGACGCAATCTCAGAATATTCTGAGGTGGAAAAGGCTCGCAAGGATCGTTGCGTCCAACTCCTGGCCCTGCCCAGGATAGCCCCAAGAGTCACACTGTGTGCCTGAGAGTATTGTCTAAAAACACTTGAACTGAGTCAGGCTTGGTGGTGGGGACCCTGTTCCAGTGCCCAACCAACCTAAACCTCCCCCGACACAGCTCTACGCCAGTCCCTCGGTCCTGTCCACTGGTCACCACAGAGATCAGTGCTTTCCCCTCTTCCCCTCACAAGGAAGCTGTAACTGTAATGGGGTCCCCTCAGTCTCCTCCAGGCTGAACACTCCAAGTGACCTCAGCTGCTCCTCATAGAGCTTCCCCTCAAGCCCCTTCACTATCTTTGTTGCCTCCCTTTGGATGCTCTCTAGCAGCTTTCTTAGAGTGTGGTGCCCAAAACAGCACACAATATTCAGTGTGAGGCTGCAATAGCACAGAGAAGTGGGAACAGACAGGCCAGAGACAAGTTACCCTTGTAATTTTAACTTCACTGGAGAAGCAACAGCTCCATTCATGTTGGATCTGTGCATGCTGGGTTCATTACGTTTGAACGACAAAAATGGGCTGTACTAAACCATTCTGTGAATGTGTGAGCAAGTGTCCCCAATATTTGTCCCAAGTTGCAGCCTGCCTCCATGCAGCAGCCAGCCATGGTCCCACTCCTCTCCCTGCAGCAATCCTCCCTTACAGCATGTGAGAGACTTACCAGCTCTTGCAGGGAGAGATGATCTCTACCTGTCTGAATGATTGCACAGGATCTGGAAAGCAATAGAAAGCCAAAGCAAGTTGTAAGGGGCTTACTGCACTTGTATGTCCTTTCCTGTAGGTGACGGCACACTAAAATACGCTGCCTGGAGAGCTTGTGGAGTCTCCCTCACTGGAACCATTCAAGAACCATCTAGACACAATCTTGTGCCCTCTGCTCTAAGATGATCCTGCTTGAGCAGGGAGGTAGGACCAGATGTCAACCTGATGATTCTATGACTTAAAGTAATAACTTCATTAAATGAAGTTACTGTTCTCAGATGCCGATCTCACTTGTTAAATAAAGCCCAATTCTCACAGGTGTCACACTATCCTGAGAACCTTGGAGCAGATCCTCTTCCAGGATAAGCAAATCAACATTATATGCTTCAAGTGACGAGTGTCTCTTTTTCTTCTTTCAGATGACTGAATTAATAGGAACAACTTAAATGACCAAAAAGTTATAATTCATAGTGAGGTGAAGTAATCAAGCCTGTAATTTGTCATTTCTCACAAAGGAACAGCATTTGTCTGTCTTATTTCACCTTGACCCCTTAATGCAGTTTCTACAAAATTTATATTAAAAAAAAGCTAATCTCATGTAACTAAAGGGTGCACTTCTAGAAAATTACCACAATCACCATATAACTTGGTAATCCACTGCATCAGTATTGCTCACTCCTGAAGTGATTTTATTTAAGAAATACATCTTCAAGTTAAAAATACTTAACTCCTTAAATTTTAAAGATTTTAAATGCAAAAATGTTACTTAGTTCTCTGTAGTTTAAAGATTTCCCTTTAAATAGTAGATAAAATTTAGCTATTATTCTAGATATGCAGTTAAAAGAACTCCATACTTAAAACCACACCACCATCCCCATCAGAGCAGCATAGTATCAGGGTCTGACCACCACTAAGAAAATTATCTAATACTCTAAATAAAGCCTGACTTCAAAATATTATGCATATTGTTTCCAAATTACATCAAGTGCCATGAACTCTGATTCACTGCAGGGCTTAAGTATTACCAGGGAGCTTTGGGACTCAGTTCTTAACGGTGTAAGAGCAGTCACCAGCTTGGCTCATCAAAGTGAAAACCACTGGCAGTAGACCACAGAGACCTACTCACATCTTTTAACACAAAACAAGGAGCAGTTTGAAACTTGCTTTGATTTCAACTACCCTTCATAGGGTGTTCTATGCTCACCAACTGTTTCTATTAGCAGAGACAACTAAACCACTGCAGTCAATTTCTGAACTACCTACATGCATTTTTGCATGTAGAAAACTCTTGAATATTTATACAGCATTAAAAAACTAAGTTCACATAAATAATTCTAAACCAAAGATACAGCAATATAAAGCTTTCAGTTTCAGATCTGAGTTGTTTTATTTTCTCTAGAATAAGAATCAGAGTATGGACTGGTTTTCAGAGTAAAACACTCAAAAAGTGATCTGGTGCAATTCTTAATGAACCATTTGGACAAAGCTTTTATTTCTGACATTAGGAAATAAAACTTCATTTATGGCATGCTTCAGAAATTCTTATTCACCTGATGATAACATAAACCATCAGAAGACAGACAGGTCAATCAGCTTATACACTACTTCCTACTCATATTCTGTATTTTCTTCATTAGTTATGGCTGGCTGAAGTGGGACCTGCCAGGCTGCTCCCCTACATCCTTAGCCTTATGTACAAGCAGACTGATCCAGTTCATTATCAACATTGTAACAATCAGATTGCTTTAAAAAAATAAAATCTGAAAACAGTGACTTAAATGGCAAATGTATATTTACCCCGTTTCTTTTGTAGTAAATGTAGGTTTTCATGACTTGAACAACTCTACACATATAACAAATGCATTGATACATCCACACAATGATATCTGCAAAAGTTATGGTGCACATATTAAATGCTCCTTTCATTACATCTTTAGCATTGTCTTGCAAATTGGAAAATACTTTAGCACAATTCAAGGGATAAAAAAATTACATTACATACTCTAATTCTGTTTTGTAAATCCCATAGATTTTTATTGATGGTGATAAATCCATTTAGTTTTCAGTAAGAGTTAGTACTTCTACTTTTCCTAGCAATATTTCAAGATTGAAAAAGTGCAGTTTCTAGGGCCAAGAAAATAACTCAAGTAAAACAAGTTCTTGAGACACAAAGGCCAGGATGGTCAAAAGCAGACAGGCTCAATCAGATCACAGTAAACACCTGAAATGGAAGACTTTCCTGCCCCTTTGTGAAAGTACATGATCTTTTGCACCACATAAAACTACTTTTGGAGATTAATTAACATTTAAACAATATTCCAAAGAGAAAAAATTATCCTTTCACTCAATATATAATTTTTTTAAAAGAAGGCTGAACATAAGTTCACTGTATGTGAAAAACTGTTTCTTCAACAATAAGGATACTGAAATCTAAGCTTTATGTAGATAAACAAGCTAGGATTGAAAAGACACACAGACACCTTCCCCCAAAACAATGGCCTTTGATTTTATTCTTTAGTCTTTTTCAAGCTGTCACTATAACTTTACATTTTGTACAGTATTTTGTGTATCAAGGGAAAGAATTATCTTTAACAAGATTCCATGTATTACAATATCAAGGACCGTTGTATTTGCACCCATGATGTTTAAAAAATCTCTCAGACAAACCATGTAGAAATAAGTATGCAAAAACTGCAAAGAAAAACATTTAAGTAGCCAAAATTAAAAAGACCTTTGTGTGAACCACACAGTCTAGCTCAGTTTCTACTAGGCTATTGCAGCCAAGTAGTCCTTAACCTCAGTTGGAGTGAGCCTCCTAAAACCAGCTTCATTACAGATGCCAACTTCAATGTTGTCTTCTGTCATCTGTCCTTCAAAGCTCTCCTGTTAAAAAAAACTACAGTTCAGTGAATTATATCAGTGAACACATAAGAAACTTCTTTCTTAAATACTTTGCTAACCTTTAGTGTTAAGATAGCTGTATGAATGGCATCTTCAAGCTCCAAATCTTCATTGTATCTGTAAACAGACATTCATTTATTTCAGCATAGGACAAAAACCTTTACAAATTTTAATAATCCTGGAGTATCTAAAATCCCCAAAACTACTAAAATCTTTCTGTTTCTCATACAAATATTATTTGTAAACATAGTGGCATTAATAGCAAAAGTTATTATTTGTTAAAAAAAATCCCCACTTTTCCTACTGACATTGTATATAACATTGCTGCAAATATGCTGAATATAATGTTTATTGCACTCAAGTAATGCTACATAAACACAAAAGTTGGAATTTAAATAAATCAAACTTCCTGTGCATGCATAAACAAGTACACTGGCAGTATCGTACCTTAAGTATTTTAAAACTTTGTTCTTACAATTTAAAAAGTGTGCATTTTAAAAAAAACCTGGCTATTTTATATAGAACCTGAACAAAACATAATATCCTTTCAGAGAAGTATCAAATACATTACCTTTTCTCAAGAAATGTTTTCCCATTGACGTAATTTTTTCCCATTGCTGTTGCTTTCCAGGCAAAATAAGCTCCCTGTAAAAGCAACAATCCATTGATTGAACTGCTTTGTGTAACTTAGTGAAACACTATGTATTCAATTACTTGGTAAAAAAGTACAGAAGCAATTATGAAAATACTGAGTGTTCTGAGACCACAGGAGAAAATTTTCAATCATATTGAGACAAATTTTATATGGGAACATATTCTGTGAAACTCTACAAAACGTATATTGGGCCCCACCTAATATCATCCTCCTGCTGCTTTGAAAGATGCATTTAGTAAATCATTAGCATGGATTTGATTTGGGATTCCTTAAACGGAAATAGTACATTTGCCTTTGAACAAATGTACACTCAAGTCCTTACTGAGGCTCACCCCACACATTCTTCTTTTTGAAGTAATGTGACTTGTTGCAAATCAGCCATCTGATTTATGTTCACTACCACTGAGATATTTAGTCATCGCTTCTATTCCCTCCTCTAGCATGAGGACCAGCCTCAATCAAACTGCCTGAAACAAGGCATCTGCATTTTGATTACACTGGAGCATCA